TAATAGACCACATCATCATGACCATTTATGATTCTAAACAGCTAATTTTTACACTATTTCGTAATCTATGAGTAAGTTATTCGTCTAGATTATCAAGCTACATGAGAAATTGCTGTATCTCAAAGAAATTCGAAATTACTTAGGGAACTGCAACCTACCTTCGACTTTGTTTATTTCTGAGAAAATAGTCATTGAATAGATATTAGATACTTCTAGTACTGCAAATAGGAGAAATTTTAGAAATTTTTTAAGTAAATTATATTATTAACTAAAAACAGATGAGCTTTAATAGCAAGGATTATTTATTTTATAGTAATTCAGCTATCAATAATTTACCTGATAAATCTGGCTTATCAGCTAGATTTAGGCTTGATTTCGGGAAATTCATTGGTGGTTCTTGTACAGTTAATTCTGATGAAATTGTTATAACTAAAATAGAATTAAATTACGATAACAAATCTTACCTCATCGTGACGAAACATAATTTTAAAGAACTAATTCTTAGAATATTTCGTAGTCTTAGTATAAATTATTCGTCCAGACTATGAAATCGCTCGAAAAAGTGCTATGACTTCAAACGAATTCAAAATTATTTAATGAACTATCACCTACCATCAACTCCGTCTGCTTCTGAGAAAATAGCCACTGAATCGATATTAGATACTAGTGATACTTCTGATTAGGTAGACAGCAGAAATTTTAGAAAATATTCAGTTGATGATATTAGCAAAAAATGGATAAGCTTGATTGGATAGATTATTTATTTTATAGTAACTCGTCTTTCAATAATTTTACCAGATAAATCTAGCTGATTTGTAAGATCTAGGCTTGATTTCAGAGAAAACATTGGCTCTTGAGTACGTAATTCCGGTGAAATAGTTGCATCTAGATTAAATTAAGTTATGATAAAATTAAAATTTATTTGATTACTTAAAGCTCTAGTCAACTAATTATAGCACTATTGCGAAGTGAAATTTTGTAGTTTAGTATGCTGAGCCAGCAATAAATAAGGTTTAGAACCTGCATGCGTATTTAATGACTAAAATACGGACATATATTTTCCTCCGAAGTAATAATCTTTAAGAGTAGGGCTTTAAGTAATATAGCTAACACACTGCGTTCTTATTTTGTACTATTCGTCATGAACGTAGTAATCTCTTTGATTGATGCAATATAAGTAATGCACGTTAGTATTTATAATATGTCCTTACGAATCTAATATCAGGCTTATCCTTAATCTAGAATACACATATAGCTAACAACGACATCATAACTTAAACTATGTGATAATATAGGAATTGATTCTGAAATAAAAATCTGCAGCAGATGATTAAGGATCGTTGCAAATAGTCAGCCTCTAAGATCGATAACTGATATTAAAATTGTATCAGTATTGCATTGCTTTCGGAAGTCATTAACTCTATTTACTGCTGTAGATCTACTCAGTATCATAATACAAATGTTGATTACTAACCAGAAAGCGAAGGAGTTACTTTAATAAGAGAGCTAGAAAAGAAATTGTCTGCAAATAATTGTACCCATTTTTAATATTAATTGATCAAATACTATTATGAGATTATGAGATTAAATTTTTCTTAAAGGAAAATTCAAGTACGTTGCGATAGTGGCGCAGATGTCAACATGAAATCATCTAACTTTTGCTTTTCGTCTATAAATAGGCTAGACCATGATGATAATTGTAATAGCTCGTCGCTATTAGTGATTCCTGACATAGCTTTAGTATAAATCACTAGATAATACTTCAGTAAAGCATCTAGTGGTCGATAGCTTTGTTAATCTTGTGCTTAATTTTAATTGCTTCAGTCTACTACATACAATAATGTGATGAACGTAATCTTACCTTTTTGCAAGTGAATCGATTCTGCAGCTAAATCTTGAAGACTTTGATTCGATACTGATATGTCGGGGGATGTAAAAATCTTCACTTCATTCATAATAACATCATCTATTCGTTAACAGAACAAAATTACGGTCATGTCTAATATCTAGGTTGCAAATTTAATTTTAATACCATGCCAACATACTCATTGATAGCATAGATTCTTTAATATCTATTTGAGAATGTTCTAGCCAACTCGTAATAATAAATTTACGACTCGAAACTTGTGGCTGAGAGATAATGTCCAATTGTTCATCTGAAGCAATATGAAAACATGATCGAGACTGATCTTGTACCATAATAAGAGCTACTACTACAATAAAAATCTATTTAATGTTTAATTAGAAACGGATAATTTTTGCTATAATTACACAAACTCGTTCCAACTTTATCATATAAATTTAAAGTCAGTAAAGGCCAATTACTATTTCGACAATCGCCTTTAAGAGTTACGTGTTATCGTTATTATTGAGTACTTCCATTTTTATAAATGGTGTAAATATGGCTATCTTTACCACTAATCTCGGAAAGTAGGGAAGGCAGAAGTTCGTATAAAATTACGGAATCTTTAGGCATGTCATTTGCTATGGATGAAAACAGTAATGGTGATGTCTGTACTGATGGCTCAGATTCTGTTAGAACATAAGCATGAAAATCAATTAAACACTATCACCTTCGTGTTATAGTTCGAATATGTCTAATCTGAAGGATTTATAGGGTAATAAGTGGAGAATTAGATAAAATTTATATTTTGATAGTTTCAGACCGAAGTTCGTAAGATATGTTGTTCATCTGTAGCTATTTCAAAAATATGGCAATAAAGTATCTTAAAGCAATTGTTGCCGTGGTAAACAGATTTAAATACTTTTTTATAGAATTACGATTGCAATTATATTTCTTGGTTATAACGCAGCCAAAAAGGAGCAATTAATATTTTATTTGAATAATTTTAACTATCAAAAGTAGAAAACGATATTGACTGTCATTGACCTTGGTTATCACTCTTTCAAGAGGATTGTAAATTGATATGAAAACAGAATGGCAATATTTTAATTCTATTTACATGTATTCCGGTAATTTAACTGCAATACTATCTTGTGCTTTAGCAGTTGTTTTTTTAATACCTTGAAATATAGATTTTGACCATACTTCCGAAGTTAAATTGATTTCTTCGCTACTAAATACTGTAGATCCCATCTGAAAGTTTTCTGAATTATTAAAAAGAATTCGAAATTCGTTTTAAGATTATAAATGGCTATATAGTAAGGCAGTTGTTATAATCCATTTATTAGCTTATTAAACAGCAGATGATGCTTCTATAAAAATATTGCTTTATTGTCTGATGAATCGCAAAAATTTAAGTTAAATATCAGTGTTACGGTACCAACTACCGTGAATGTTTAAATAGCTGACTGCCACGGAGTGATGTCCGTGATATTGTATTGATTTTGTTTACCATTAGAAGCTAATGGTATACACTACCTGATTGGACGGAATTATAAATAATTTGTTCCTCAAATTCTATTTCTGATTGAGTCATGCTAGCGATAATGCGGAGATCTATGTATAATATTATATTATTTCTTGAATCCGACTATATTCCTTACGGCTAGTAATCTAATTTTTGAAACCAGTACACTTACTTCCAGCCGAAATAGTGGACGGGAATGAATTTTCGAGAATATTACTAAAATTTGCGATTGGCGTCTGCAGCTGTTCCTCTGTTTATTTAGCATACCATAATTAGATGGAATGAATCGAGCAATATTAGTATTATGTCCATCGAAAGGAATAAATTGCTTACGGATATTAATCGAATAAGATGGCTTCATGACTGCTTTCTCCGATATCGGAAGGGATGATGAAAAGGTGCTCAAGGAATAACCTAATCACATGTAAAACAAGTATCTTTAGTGATACTAGACATTTCGATATGCTTATAGAGGATATTTGATGATATTTCAGCAATTTTTGATTTGTTATCAACTCTCTACTATATTGGCTATAACACAAATGAACTTTTCTTTAAATCTATAGCACCAAGTGGGTAAGGTACGGTTACATGAAATATAAAACTGATCAAGGTTAGTGAAGTATGAAGTAATTAATATCTACAAGTCAGCACTAATCAACTTGCTATAGCAATACCTAATGTGGACCCATTATCGGAATCAATCCTTTGTTGCGAAAAGTGATTCTCTTAATGGGAAATGAATTGTACGGAAAATTAACAAAAAATAATTTTTAAATTGGAGAATGTTAGATAAGCTATTATTATTACGAAATAAGGTGTAAATACTTCATAGTATGATGAAGTGTATACGTGACAGTTTTATATACTGTATTAAAGTAGAAATATCTATGTTAGGATAATTTTGTTAGCCTATCCTTATCTAGTAAACTTCTAATTTCGAATCATTGTGATTGTAACTTGCTTATGGTAGATTGTAAATTATCGCAGAATTGTCCCATGATAGGGCATATCGTAATCTGGCTATACTGTTGTCTGCATTAGAGAGCAGTAGGTAAAATGAGTGTCTAATTCAGAGAATGATTCCAAAGTTAACCGTACTAACTATGACTCATGAACTATTGAGGAAGAGTATGTATAAACGCAATATATCGGGTAATAAAGTTAATTCTTAAACTTGGTGTTTAACGTAAAATACGAGGCGTCTATGTCTTTGTGTAGTCTACTAGTAGAGCAAAAGTGTTCCTGATAGTGCAGATATCATTCCTTGATACATTGGTTCAAGGACTTGACTTATTAATCGTACATTATGTTATCTTGTTGAAAAGCTGTTTTGTGATAGGATACATTGCGCAATCAGTTACTTCTTCTAAATAAATCAATTTTTACAGGCTATGGACGTATCAACGACACCTATGCGAGTCTGCTTAAGTATAAAATTAAGGTCAGTAGCAATCGAGTAACTATTAGCCTTGTTGATTTACTATAGTTCGTAAGTACATTAATCAGCTAATTAGCAATCCTAATAGCCTGATTTATATCGCGTAGACAATGTGCGAAATTTTGACGTCAACAAGGAATTGATTCTCCCATGAGATTATAAAATAAATTTTAGGTTTAATTTTGGCTTATAATCATAATCCAATACATATTTAAAAGATTTATCGCCTGCAGAAACCGCCCTCCAAGATGATGAGGAACTGGTAAAGTCAGCTCAAGTTGATACTCTAAAACCAAAGCATTTACATTAAATCAATTTTGAAGCGCTTGTAACTATTTTGTTTTTTCAAGTTTACTGTCACCTTCAGAATTCAAGATTGATAAATTAGTTTATCGAAACGATGAATTTCGATTATAGCGAGTATTTAGTAATAAATTCTACAGAAATAAATTATCTCTAGCCTAAATATTTTTGTGGCAAGTCTAATAAAGTATTTGCTAAAAATCTGAATTTAAACAATAAACAGATCTTCTGGGAAATTTAGTTATAGTAAATACGTGCTAAAGTCCAGTTATATCTAACAAATGAAACGGCGAATAGGTATGCTTTGTATCCGTAACAACTTTGGCTAATAGTTATTTATCGAGAATAGCTCTAATTCTTTAAATTCATTCTACTTCCTATCTTGGCTTATCGTTGGTAATTTGGCTCTAATTTGTAGGATTCAAACCTATGCTAAATTTCTTGATAAAGTTTTAAAACTAGAGCTGCTTAATAGATTTATTAGTAATAGCCCTATATTTTAGTCTATATGAAAGTAATTAATAAATTTTCAGTTTATTAATCCTATTACTAAATAAACTTCATAGCCACTAAGTAAAGAATTTATTTAAATACGGGTTAAATATAGCTGTAACGTGGTATCTATTGGGGATTTTTCGTTATCAAATATCTGTTATCCAATATGTTGCACTTTCTGAATTCTAATAAATTTAAATTCCTTTCAGAGTATAAATATTAATTAAATGAGGTATTCCCGTAAAGTCTCGATATTGATTAAGTACAGACACTTCATATTTGTCCCATTTGTTTTAATTCATTCACCCATTGTCTAGCAGAAACATTTTATTGCTGTAGAGTAATGATGTACTACCATAACAAAATTTGATAATCGAAGATAAATGAATTAGATTTATTAAGATCAATCTCTGCTTTGGTATAGAATACAGATAAAAGCTAGAGCGACATAGTTCATCCAAGTATCCCGTGAAGATCATTCCTCAAATTATAATTCACTCAAGTTCTTGTACCATGGTAAGTTATATGAATTCTTTACTATGCTATAATTTTATATTTCTATATTTTGTCATTGGTTTCGTAAAATTTTTATAAGCTCAAGTTTAAAATGATTCGATTGATAATAGCAACGAATAGCTTAAATTCTTAGATTACTAATCAGTTCATCTACCTGCTACGGTTGGTGATGTTTGTATGATTTCGTCTTCAACGGTCTGCATATTGCCTGAATTAGAGATCATAGAGAGGAAGGAATACATCATTTTTCAGAAGTTTTCTTATTGTTTTTATGCTCATAATCTGATACAATAAAATTTTGATATAATACGTACATATTCGTATAATAGTAAAATATTTACGTAAATAATTGATTTTAAATTTAAACTGATATCTGACAATGAAACAAAAGTAACTAATAAAGTTTACTAGTATATTAAAATTAATCTAATCTATATTTTTAGCTCTTATTCTAAGATAAAAATTTAACTTTTACTTCCGAAGCGAACTTTGACATTGCTCTACAGTATTTCAACTACCTAGCCTAGCCGACGTCGCTTTATCGAAATCTTTTGAGCTGATAATTGAAGCCTGCAGGTTAAAATCTGAGCAAAATACTTTTTATTATATCGTTAATTATTATAAAAATATTAGTTAAGGCAGCACTAGCTTTCAAATTTCTTCTTTTCAAAAAGAATGTTTTATCGAAGAGGCCTAGTGTGCTAACGTTGCCTGTATTAATGACAAATATTTTCGATACTAGTCTATTTTTTGTAACTTAAGATCTATGTAGCAATGTTACTTTCGTATTTATTAACGAAATTTTTTAAATAAAGGCGTTAATTGGTGCACCATGGACAATGCAAAGTTAAATAAACTCTAAAATCGCAGTTTAAGTAAACATCAATATAAGGTCATGCTCGTATACCTGTTGGTATTGTCGTTGATTGCCTAAAATCATTAGCAAACGATTCAATTGTTTGCATAATTGGGACTATAGAAAAGAATGAACAATCATGAATTGAAGTTTAAATTGTTCGTAACTGGAAATTCTTTAATTAGCTGATTTCACTTTAGTTAGAAGGAATTTTCCTTCATTTTTGTTTGCTAACCTGCTAAGGATGTTGCTACCGTCGGAGCCTCATACATACTCAGCTTTTCAGTTTGCAATGCAACATCTACATGGGATAATATATATTCCAATAAATAAGCTCTATTAATTGTTTCATCAGATCAAAATTGTTAGCTTAATCAGTAAGTATCCATAGATTTAAATCAAAGTAAGGCAATTTTTTGGTAAAGCTAAACCGCCCTTGTTTCTAATTACTGGAAAGTTTTACTTTTATTTCGACTCTAATTATCAGCTGCCGGTAATGAACACTTCCGTTACAAGATAGAGGCAAGAAACCCCGCAAAATCTATCATACAGACGATATGCGCGATTGTCCTCAAGCGTGGTATTTATCCCATTATCACTTACCTTTATCCGGAGGATGCTTTATTGATGAAGATAAAGAAACCAAAGAAGCAGACTCGGATAATTTTAAATCTGTAAATTAAATATCAAGTCTTGGCCATAAGATTTGAGATCGTTTAATTTATAATAGCAATATATTATCGACATTAAGATTATAAGTTTATAATTCTATGGGTAACTTTGCTAATCTACTACCTTTTGTAATACTCGTATAATAAAATTTTAATTAAATAAATTAGTTAGCAGGCACCTTCGAGATTGCGTCTGTAATTATTGATTGGCATCGAATCTGTTTTGGTCTTATCAGTTGCATCTGATATGAAAGCTGTTATAGAAATATCGGGAAGGCATTTAAAAAATTATAAAGATTTTAACAACTCCTAATCATAGTAGTAACTGCAAGTAATGTAATCTGTCTAGCATAACTCGACATTATAGTCTTCTCTTACGTCTCTCGCATATAAAGTAATACTTGTCGTAGCAATTTCGATCTCTCCATTCAGGCGTACCATCCATGTACAATATGATGCAAAAATGTGACAGCACATTGGGTTCTAATGGATGCCAATTACTGTAGCCCACATCAGTTACTGACTTATTGATAGGCAACCATATATGGCTGTTTTTATTATTATCGCCTGTCATATCTTTTAATCCTATCCAGCTTGCACCTGAGTAAGTGCTTGCTACATAAGTTTCCATAAATGTTTCCTTTGTTTGACTGTCAATAACAACTAGGTCAGCGTTCATAGATCGTTGACAATATAGCCGTGCGTCATCATAAGTTTTAAGCAATGCAATTTGGCCAACGCATTGCTTTTCATATAATTTCCAACCTGGAGGACAGGAAGTAGTAGCAAATTCTATCAAGAAGATCAAAGAGTTAGTTCAATCTTAACTAAGTTATCAATAGCTTTAAGAATTGCTTAAAATTTTTAATTTTACCAACATCAATTTCAAAAATGACTATATACAGTAAAGCTGATAATGTACTTATTTTAAGAAAGCAACGATATTATTTACCATATATTAAGGCTATTTAGTATATAGTAAAAATATCTTTAATTTAGAAATGTAATCTAAATGAGGTTCGCCGCAAATATGGAGAAAAAATATCAAAGGGAAGATGATGAAATAGGTACTTAATTCTTTATGGTATAAGTAATGGTTTACATGTTAGAAAAGCAGGCAGTTCGACATTATACTTTATCTCATGATACTCTCACATAATGTAGTCAAACATAACATATGGAATATAACTATCTAATATAGAGCTCGGAAATCCTATAAATTACGGTATATGCTTTAATAAACTGTACGCTCGAAACTATCCTCCAGTAATAGTAGTTGTCACTTCTACTATTACTCATAGCGTCAGCTTTATTCGAATATATACCAATATATTTAGCACACAATATATATCAAGTTTCTTGACAAAAAATTCACTAATTTGATCGTTATTAATTTCTTTTTCCTTACACGCGATAACACTAGGTATTCATGGTATTATAGCTATGTAACTGCAGTACAAACATCGATATTTATTATTCTTATATAATTTAATCAGAAATCATTGTTCACTAGGGTATCATGGAAACGGACAATCGAATACTAAAGAGTGTTTATAATAAGGTTTGATTGTCTAATCGGAGAATTCAAAAGACATTAATATTTGCCTATTCTATGACGAACAAATCTTTACATATCTGCATATTAAATGATTTTTAAAACCTTATAGCTAATATGAACATAATTAATTAATGTAATCTTTGGATTGATTATTATACCAAAGGCAGAGATTTATTCAATACTGCTTGTAACGTATCGCTCGTGTCGAGATCAAACGATGCTGCTCGATTGCTTATGGTTGACGGAAATTAAAGAAATGCTAATTGAAATTTAGATAAAATATAAATGCCTCCAGCTAGCTTTTATACTGGCAAAGAGATATCACTAAAATAAGAAAAATTCAATCTAGAAAAGAAATAATGTACAATCGACTGTACTTTGACCTTGCATTGTTGATCCTAACTCTATTTGTTAAAATATATATCTATCTGTTTTTTACAATGACTTTTAAAATTACGCAACTACAGATAAGAAGCCAATTGTTAGAAATATAATATCTTCACGGATATTTTGGATAAAAACATAGCAATAGTCATTGTTGATTTATACAACAACCATTTTAGGAAGTAACACACCAAAACTAAGAGTTTGTGGCATCATTATTCTTTCTAACATTTATTAGCTTTAATGATCTCACCTAGTTGCAGCGGTACAATAGTTGGCTAAATTTTGGGTACGTAGGTGAACCAACAGTAATAGCGGAAGACTATTACTCGATCATTATACTAACATAGCTAATATAGGGAATGACTTCTATTGTATTGATTAAAATGTTAATAATTATAAAGCAAGCAATTTAATAATAACCATTTTATATATTTTTTGGCTGATCACAGAATAAAATTTATGGATATTTTGCAGACGTTTTAGATTTGCAATAAAATTTGCAGTCATGATTAATGTATTAGCATTTAATGATTAAAATCGTAAGAATTATGCAACGCAATTAATCTAATAGCTATCTAAAAATTATTTACTAATCATAAGAATACATTGTTAGTAAGAAAATTAAATTTGCTTACCCGGAAGTTGTAAGATGGCAATCTAGAAAATGCGATTGAAATACATAATAATGATAAGATTACGAAATATTAGAATTTCAATTAACGACATGTATATTTAATTCTTACATAATGCTATGCTAATCGGAAATAATCGCTTGAAATTGAAATTTTAGGCTAATAATTTTAAATAGCAATAGATTATTTTATAAAATTTTGATTTATAGGAATTTTTCATAAGTCCAATACTACTGTAAGCCGTGAATAGCTAAAGATTTTAGATTTAAAATGAATTCAAGGAAAAATATATTAATGTTCAGTTACTCATATTCTCAGCACTTATTTAAAATTAATAGATTTGAGCTATTCAAAAATGAATTCTATGATCTTGTAATATATTATAATTACAATCTAAAGCAAAATGGTAATAGCCTGCTATTGTGGTTTGTATTTTAGATAGCTAACTACAGTCATATATCCAGTTAACCGTTACAGCTACATTTAAATGTCCTGCATAATAGCTATTAAAATACTAGCTGTATATTTGAAATATAATAAATATTCTATTATTCCTTTTAAGCATAAGGCATAAATCATATCCTCTACAAAAAAATCTTTTAAGCTTTTATCGTTAAAAGAAGTATATCTGTAATTAAACGTATGCCAATTATCGAAATTTTTACTAGCGAAACAGACAATAAGAATCAAATGCATCTTTAATCTTTAAATTTATATCATTATCAAATAGGAAAATATTCTTGCGGAGGTAAGAAACGTCAGATAGATTAATTTTATGTATTGGGATGTAAGCATTTCTTTATTAGAGAAAGAAATATGTTACTCCTTATCATAGAATAGCAATAGGGCAATTAAGCTATATGTATAAATAGCGTTTATAAGATTGTGACATAAAGTATAACAGAGGACAAGCATTGCTTTTGCTTCTTAAGACAGAAAATTTAAATTAGCCTAAGTGGTTAAAATCGACTACTTATTATTGAATATATCAGAAATTCTTATTATATTATTGGTTGGCAGGAAAATGAAGCGTGCTATTGTTGATCATAGATTAAATAATGCAAGAAATTACAGATTAAGATTTACTGTGTGTATGCATGTGCATAAATAGTAAGCTTAATTGATACCGTTTTTATTGATGGAGATGCCTCAAATGTAATAAACTACAAAGGCCTGCTGCTGTAAATAACTGCAATAAAATATCTTAAGTTTTCAAGTGTAACTAAAATCGGTTAAAGAATCGGAATTTCTTCTTTAGAAATTTCAAGTTATTTCAATTTACAAAAAAGTTACCGACCTTCTCTTTTAAATATAAATGTATTCGTATACCAAATGCAAGATAAAATATGTAATTTAAGTATTAGAAGTATAAATTTAATAGCTCGAAATAAATAAGTTAGTAGTGGATAAATTTACGGTAACATATCCAATGGCATTGAAAATACAGTTAAAGATGGATTTGGATGAAATGCATAATTTGAGCTTATCAGGAATGATGTAAATGAGCTTTTCTGTTAATGAACATATTTTTCCATGAATCAGAGGAATTCCTCAGTAAAAGAGAAAATTACTGATTCTACTTTTTTCATTGCTCCTTAACAATAGGATAAAGATAGATTTTAACTAGGAACATCCGGCATTCAAAAGGATTTTTCTTATTATTAAGCTAAGTAATCTGGCTTATCTTGACCGCCTATGGCAATGATAAAATCACTCCGAATAATTATATTTTCAGTTATTAAGTAACTTTATCAGGTCATTTTTAACTAAATTAAAGAAATAACTTTTTTCAAATGTAATCATTAAGGCAAAATGTAAAACGGCATTAATCATTTAAATTACTCTCTAAAAGAATGAACTGAAGCAAAAGAAAAAATTCTTAGGGTCGAAATTAACACGGAATGAATACAATCATTTATTGTCATCTAGTAATTTGATTTTCATATTAAGTCCAGATACCCTTCAAGCACATAACTTTTAGATTAAGACTGCTTCTTAACTTAATTTTAGATGTTGCAGAGCTTCATGAGTAAGAATTTCGATTGATAATTCATATGTTTTATGTGAGAGTATAAGCACGATCTTATACGGCTTTTTCAAGAGAAATTCATCTATTACAGGCATGGATTTCAATCACTATCGCAGTAATTTATCCATTTTATTTTAACTGTAGACCATCTTCCATATTTAAACTCATTTAAAATTATACATGAATATATTCTACGAAGCCCATGCGGTGGTGATCAATATTAGCCTGTAATTTAGACATCAGCGTCACGAATTTTCCTTGATATGCTCTTGCATAATATTGAAATTTCAAACAATGTCGTTATTATAACTAGCTCAACATTTGGCCTTGTAAATGATAAACATAAAATTTATATAAATATAAATTTTATACTTGAGTTGCAACCATTAATTTTGTAATTTTCGTATTTGTCCCGTGATTCGTAACTATACGATGTCTTCTGAAGTCCATTTTAATTGATTCCGTAATAATGATATATAATTAGGCACATTTTATATTATAATAGTACATCATAAGAACTATAATTATGGAAATTCTCTAAGACTTGTGTATTTACAGATATCGTCATTTATATCTTTCTTTTCGTGTATACGACGGCAGTATTTGCATAGAATGTCAATTAGGTTGAGATATTTATACTATTATATAAGTCAACGAAATTAACATAAACATACGTATGATTTTCTTATCAGTTCATTAAATTTATCATTTTTCTCATATAGTTTTATTACTATGTCTTGCTGTTCATTAGATTTATTTCGGATTCAAACGATTCTTTATGCAATAAATACATTTTCATTTGTATACTATATAGTATATCTGTCACACGTATACTCTATAACTATTATTATACTCGATTGCATTATTTTGTATTTCTATTTTGCAACATTTGTTTCTATGTTTGTGTAAGAGGCTTTATCGATTATCCGATTAAAAATTTTGTTTGATGTCTTAAAGAATGGAAATATCATTTCAGCTTGTTATTATATTACTTCATTATTGATCAATTGCTTCACCGTATTAAGAGCAATTTTTCGATATAATATGGTGAGTTACACTTGATTCTGACGCGTAATTTTATATTCTTAATTCCTTTAAATGCTTTTACGTTTGTATTAATATTGCATAATTAAAGCTATTACTACTTATAGATATTTACTAGCTAAATAAACTTTATAAAGTGTTATTACCGTATAACAAAGCAATATTTTATCCAAGTGGAAAAAATAAATAAATTATGTACGTAATCTAATGTTCAAAACTTTCTCTAACACTTTCATCTTTATAGCAAACTAATAACATTGTAGTTTACTGAACTTGTATCTAAATGTTATTCAAATTTCGCACAATTTATTTAAATGATCTCTAGGTAGAACAGTTAGGCACACTATCGTGTCTTTTGCTATTCATAAAAGTCGTTATCGAAAATTTATTTATTTACTGGCAAATTCACGTGTATTTAAGTCAACCATAACGCTTTTGTAACCCGTTAACGATTAATTCTCTATCATGAATGCTATTGTACGAAAATTATCTTTACATAACATGCTTAAGCAAGAACTTTAGATCTTAAATTACAATATTGCAAGGCAGTATTACTAAAGAAAATGTAATATGTATATGAATTAGATTGGCCAGCAAATCTACATTTACAAAATCATTGACTATTAAGACTCATTTTTTGTATTCAAATTGAATTTAAAGTCATAAATAAAAATCTGACAGAAGCTTTCCTAAATTACTTAAACATAAGATCAAGTAAGTGCTCATAATTGTTAATGACTGATCTCAAACCTAATTAAAATTAAAGTTTTGGAAGATAACTTACTGTAATGATAAATCCGTAGATTGCCTTTGCCATAAAGTAGTTCGATGATGTTCCCATTTAAAAATTAATTTTGCAATGGAATGTTTGTATTAGGAATAAATAAATGGCGTTTTATTATAAATCTGTAGTACTACTATAAGTAGCTACGTATTTAATGATATTATTGAACAGAACAATTCTTCATAAGTTCCATAGATCAACTATAGCATCCAAGCTAGCATCGTCTGTAAATATCATTACTTGGATAACTCAAGATAAGTTTAAGGAGATTCAGATAACCTGAGAAAAAGAAAGCGAAATACTTTAACTTCAACAAGAGTGTGTAATATAAATAAACTTATTCAAAGTATATTGCTCTAAGAAGTATTTTATTTCAAGTTGTAAAATTATAATGCTCATTTTAACTAGCTTGTAAACGCACAACTACTTCAATTGTTGATTAAATAAATTTCGTAAAGAAGAATTTACCTACTTTAAAATTTGAAATTATGAATTTATTCTTAACTATCAGTACTTGAAAGTTTATTCTCTAAACGTTAAAATATTATTTTATAGAAATATTATATATGGTACTAAAGTCTAATTATTGATTCAGTTATGAAGCAGAAAAGTTGTTCAATCCAATCACAACCTCTCCGCTAGCAAGTAGCCTATTCTAGAAATATCGAGGCAATTCCTGTTTCCTTGTTCCATTCGCTCTTCTAAATTATTATAATAAGCTAAACAAGCTGGTACTTATCAAAGTAAAACTAATAATGTACGTGTACCGTACGCATAAACATTTTTCCGATATAATGTATGTTAGCCTCCAACTTATTTTCATTAAATACAGTACCATTTGTAAAGGCCGATTAAAGGCAGAACCAGTGCCAGGAAAATGCTGATCAATTTTCAAATCTTAATGTCTGTAGGCTTGAATGACCGACCAAATATGTGTAAATGCAAAATGATTTTTGATGGACTTGAAATTTTCAGTTTTAGATAGCTTAATAGAGAAAAACATAAAATTACGTATCTAAAATGAAATGACGATAGTGATAAGTGCTAGAAATACTATGAAACTAATTAATATTCCCATATGGGTAAGAATTCTGTCTATGATATTTGCAATATTAACTATATGGATTATTTATGATTGCAATAATAGATGACACTTACAGTATAGTTCAGGAATATTCATGTGTGTAATCATAAAGTTCTATAATAGATTGTACAAAATATCTACTCTTTGATTGAATATTGATATTACAATAGTAATAATAGTAGACTGATCAATTGATTTTATTCTATATATTTTTTTCGATTATTATCAATAATTTCATATAAAAAATTATGCTTATAATGAATAAAGATCAAGTTGGATAAATTATTTTCATGAAAACCATTCAATTTTATTGATTTTATAACAATTTAGTTATATTTTGACTCAGTTACTTCTCTAATTGTAATAAATCAATCACCGGATATTTATAATGTTACTTAGGAACAATTCTTAAATATAAACTCTTACTTGTAAACAAATCATTTCAGAGGACAATATCTGTCATTATACGATAATTTAGATTATCTGACAATGCAAAGCAATAAGGGTCATTATTTTTTATGGCTAAGTACATTTATTAACAATTTATTTCTTATCTGTCTCGATTATACTGACAGTTTATTGTAAAAGAGTAGGAGGTTACTAATACATGCTGATTATACTTTGTTCTACTCTGCCTTTTCCTCCTTCCTCGAAATTATTTAAGCAGCATACACACAGTTTTGCTTTCTTGTTATTTCTGTTTTTTTGACTAAGTATAATAAGACACATGTTAAACTTAATTTATGTTAACATTTGCGATAGAAATCTTTTTTTCCAGTTACACAAACAGTGAATTTATGATAGTTGACTATAGTAACTTCCAGTGAGCGAGATTTATTAAACGAATTTCATATAGAAATCAAAATAATAGATAATTTTAATTCTGTTATCTTAAAAAATTTTTAATTCAAAGATTTTTAAATAGTTTATTAGCAATTTATTCACTTAGTGTGTAGTTTTCTATATATAGAGTAAACGGTATGACTTTAATTAAGGCAGGTTATTCTAGATTTCAATTGTTGTGTATGATCGTTAGTTGCCGGTATTTTTCCTGTATTCTTTGCCACAATCGTCATTATAAATGCGTTAGAAGTATTTTTAACTTCTATTGTCTTATATTGGCTACCGCTAGCCTGAGTCTATTATCCTAGAGATTATCTCAGCTGAATCTTATATTCCAATTACAGAAATTATTGATATTTAAAGCTGGTTTATGCAGTTAAAATGAAAGATTATCTGCTGATAACCTTTATTAAATTCTTTTGAATAATATTATGGCCGTAATTTATATTTTTGGTAATAGTGTAATTTACATCTTATTTGTTTAAAATAACTTTAAGAATGTATCTAGGTAATTAAGTACTGATATGAATATACTTATAAAACATATTGATGCAACTGTTTGCACTAGATCCACATGAATCATAAGACTAAGTTAGCTATATTGCTTAGTTTTAATATGATTCTGATCCTGATAGCACATAGTCAATTGTCCGTAAGAACGTGAACGCTTATTAAAAAAATTCATATATAGTGAAAAATAAATTCACTGGCTAAAGTATTTTTCTGCTGACTTTGCTGTAGAGAATTAATGTTACTTTTATAATTCTGATTTAGATAGCGTAAAATACAAATGATAGTAGGCCAATGATTTCAATGTTACATCATACTATAGGTCTCGGCTTCACACAGAATTCTAGTCATTTTTATGATGTTTCGGAAGGTTTAAGATTCGTAATAATCGCAATAAATTACCAGAATTAAATTAACACATCGAATTAGACTTTGTTGGAATTAGAGCAAGAGGAAAATCCTGCGAGGTTATAGCGTATACAGCGATCTGACTAGTCAAGTAGCTATAGTGATGTAGAATAGATAAAGCGTGCAAGCTTATCATGTAACTAACTAACTTGATAGATGCAAGATTATCGCTTATATAATGTAAGAAGCATAGCAGGTGGAAATCGCACTCACCCACCCTTTAAACGAGCAGCACGGTAGTTATTTCTGTAGAGTACTGATTTATAAAATAGTATTCGTTATATCGCTAAGGGTGGCCACTAAGCCTTTAAGTTTTGATTTCATGTAATGTTCTGATGAAAATTGAATAAACATGGAATCTTAATAGAGTTTTCTACACAGCCATTTTGATTGTTACATTTTCTTGTAACGGTTGCTATCGACAGAGCAAGCTTTGCTTGCATACTCAAGCGATCCTTAGACACATTATAATGATTGGTATAGAATTGACCACAGTAGTAAGGACATTGTACCGCACTGTAGATATCTTAATACTGTACCTGCTAATCTTAAGTTGGTATGTCCATCATCGTACATTAGTTATCATAATGTGCTTTGGACCATGAACTAATCTTAATATAGCATTTCATCCGTGAATGCATTATTGAAAAGTAGTATTCTACAAGCATAGCGGTGAATATAGTAGTGCCTGGCTATTACCGGGATATAAATAATGTAGAATGGTTATACTATCTGTTAATTATTAATAAATGGGTACATTATCGTAAACCGTCAGCAAAGCGACGTGAATTTATACTAGTAATTTATAAAATACGAATGACTAATAAGAATACCTTGATTCTATATTAAGGTAATTCTACGATACAATCAAACTAGAGTATAGGGGATTTCCATAGTAGGAATAGTTAAATATAGATTATACAAATAACGAGTTATGTCACAGTCTATGTGGAAATTAACTTTACTAAGAATAGACTATATTACATTTACAAGAAAATATTATAATTTTCGGTAGACAGCAGCAACTTTATAGTCTTAAGCTTCTTTTACTGATTTCACTTAAGCTGGCTGGTATCGTACTCCATTCATAACTAATAAATTATCTTTAGCTTGAGTAAACAATTTCAAAAGACCTTAATAATGGAGCAGTATGATAAAAACTCTCCGTAAACTATTTATATGTTCTTACTTGAAACTTACAAGCAGCCTGGTGCAGTAGCTGTCCTTACCTACCTAACTACTTTTTTCTCATAATCTCCACAATATAATCTAGAGTACCTTATGTATCGCACTTTTATGTGTTTTCATATCGAAACTACAGTTATATTTTACTTAAATTACACGATATTTCGTTAATTATACTTCGTGAAATACTGCAGCAAAATACCTTAATTGCTCCATCCAAACTATATTTAACAAAAATCCATCTAATACTGCTATTGTCAGAGAAG